TATAGGCACAGCTAGTGCCAAAATATAATCATAAGATTGCATGCCAAACATGAAGCCGAGGGGAGCCTGGGTGGCTCAGGCTGAGCGTCCAACTCTTGATTTCAGCTCAGGTCATGATTCCCGGGTCATGGGATCGAGCCCTGCCTTGGGCTGCATGGTGAGCATGGAGCCTGCTTTAGATTCTCTCTCTCTCTCTCTCTCTCTCTCTCTCTCCCCCCCCTCCCCCCCCAACAATTTCAAAAAATAAAATAAAAATAAAAAATAAATAAACATGAGGCCCAAGCAGGGAAGTTCCTGAGGCTCGACAAATCCGTTTACCTTGATAATATTAAGCTAAATAGATCACTGTACCTCACCAAAGGAGCTCTTGGTTCTCAGGTGAGAAATATTTGAAGTCTGTAGGCTACACCCCCTGTCTGCATGATAGCTGAAAAGGGAAACTGTGGCTAAGGGCATCTGCAGCTTTAACTTGCTGGAGTCCCTGCCACTCTTCGTTATCTTCTGACCACAAAAGTATCCATTCCATTCCTGGAAACCAAAGATGTTAATGTTGGAGTGGGAAACATCTGCCATCTGTACCCTTTACTTATATACTTCATCTGCTCAGTCCTGAGGTCATAGGAGTTTATAGCTCCTTCTCTGAAGGTTACTCTCATTTCCTGGTTACTGGTGGGGGTAGAGGGCCGCCTCCCCACGGCAGCCATGTACTAACGCAAGTAGATATGGAATAGGTGGTATACAGCAAGAAGATAAATTAAAAGGCCCTGGGAAGGATTAAACTAACTGAGATTCGTTTCTACAATTACCACTTAAGGCAGCCAGCTCCTTTGACTTGCAAATCATATTGTAGGTTGGTTTCTTGGGTGGAGAAGCTTTGTAATTATAGCCTATAGAAGCTGTGGACCCGGAAGAGAAAAAAACTTCCATGGGATTGTAGGGGAGGAAAAATAATGTTTCTTCTCCCTTTGAGTTCTCAGACCAGTATAATAAAAGACAGATTAATAAGAGAAAAACAGAAGTCTGTCAGTACATATCACCTCATAGATACATGGGAGATACCCAGGGAAGAATGAGTAACTCTGAAAATCCTTAGAGTTCTAAATCCTTAGAATTCAGGATTAAATACTATCTCCACAGGGAAAGGGGAGAGGAAATGATTTTTAGGAAAGATTGAGTGCCCCCTTAGAAGAACAGATGGGAAATATGAGAGTTTGTGGAAAAAGTCTGTCCTGGGTATGGTGGCCTCTCCTGTGACAAGAGTCCACCTTCCCTGGTTGATGGAACTCTGGGAAAGGGGATTTTTTGAGTTCCTTCTGGAGGCTCTGTCTTTAGGCAGATTGCGGGAGTTCAGACAAAGCCTCTCCTTGCATTTGCTGCTTTTCAGATGCCTTCAGCCCCAAATAATCGGAAAAACCGAAGTGGCCTACTTTGGGGCGACATGTCCTGCTACCTTCATTGTGATGTAGACTAGAATACTTATGGTCATCAGTGTTGCATTCATCTTGCTTTCTTGCAGTGGGGTCCCAGCCTTAGGCTGCACATTGATTTACCAACGAGATGTAAGGCTTGATAAAGCTGCTGGCTTGAATCCGGAAAGAAAATCCTGTTACATCGCTTCCTGTATTCTTTCTGAAGAATACGTTCCTTTCCATCCCATACTTCCTTGTTAGGCTGTTGATTTTTAAAGTAGGCGTCAGGGTGGCTGCATGAGAACCAGTTAGAGACTTATTTAAAACACAAATGCCAAGATTCTGATTTGGTGGGTGTAAAGGAGGGTACCAAGAGTCTGCATTTTTTTAAAGCTTTTTATGCTGAATTCTGATGTGCCATCAGGTTGGGAGACACTCATAGATTCTTGCCACAAAACTTCACAAGGACCCTTTACCCTTTCTGATTCTTTCCTTTCTGATCCACTGTACATTCTCATTCCCAGGACAGTGTTAAAACATGCACACAGGGGCACCTGCGTGGCTCAGTAAGTTGAGCATCCAACTCTTAATTTTGGCTCAGGTCATGATCTCACAGTCGCAGGGTTGAGCCCCATGTCAGGCTCTGCGCTGAGCATGGAGTCTGGTTGGGATTCTCTCACTTTCTCTCCCTCTGCCCCTCTCCCCTGCTCACACACACTCTCACTCTAAAATAAAAATTTTTTAATTTATTAAAATTAAAAAAAACCATGCACACATGCCTGTAATTGCATACACATCCCACAAAATGTGTCCAACATTCTCCTACTAGTGAGTTTCCTGAGGATGAAGCCTATGAATTCATCATCCTTGTAACAATGCAGAGCCTTTCATAAAATAGACCATGTATCCATATTTAGAGAGTTTCATACTATGAATGAGGAAAAGGCTTTGGAAAAGTTGAATTTCTCTTTTACAAATCCCTTCTGGTATGGATGGCTACGTTTGCTCAGTTTCTACACGTTCAGAGAGCCTTTTATTTTTCATGCTGTAGCAGAGTTAATTAAAATTTTCTATTTTTAAGAGTTTATTATGATTCAGGCCCTAGAATAAGTGATTTGCATGCATTGTTTCATTTAATTCTTTCAATAGTTCCACGCACGAGGTGGGTGAAGATCTCTGTAAGTTGCAGTTAGTAAACTGAGGGTCTGGAATTTTAAGAGATTTGCCCAGTCATATATAGGTCTTCAGTGCTGGAGGTGGAATTTGAATCCAGGTTTGTTTTGATTCCAGAACTTGTGCTCAGTGAAGTTCCTGGTTTTATGTTTCCTGGTTTTTGTCATGTTTTGTTTGTTATTGTTTTTGGCTACTGAATATCAGTGTGTGTGTGTGTGTGTGTGTGTGTGTGTGTGTGTGTGTGTGTGTGTATAAATTAGTAAAAGGTCATTTCCATGCCTTACCAATTTCTTCAAAGAAGAACAAAATTTTCTAAGAGTGTGGTAAAATAGGCATGTTCCTTTTTTTTCTGGCAGATTTTACACAATAAAATGATGCTTTTTATTTCTTTGAAACACAATTTTAGAAAAATGAGAATCCAGGATAGGAAAGCAAAAGCCATAGGACAGTTGGCAAGCCACCGGTCAGAGAATGCCTGGTGTGTTTGGGGATATGACATGCTTTCGGCATTGCTTCTAGAATGTTTAGATGCTTCTGTGCTCCCACTGGCTCACTTTTGCACTGTCCCCAAAGGGTGAGGAGCGAGAGGCCTTTTTTCTCTCTCGCTTTTGAAATGTCCCTGTAAATGATAACATGCTGCCCGGAAAAGTCACAGGGTAAATCATGGTGGGAGAAATCATGTTCACTAACTTCTGGGAAATTGCGGGGTTATCCGTCAGTGGTCAGCACATTGAAAACCAGCCCCTACACTGGTGTCATTATGATCTCAGCCGTTGTAAGGAACCTGGTGGCACTGAGAAAGCAGCATGATCAGAGCATAAATGGACCTGGGTATAGATGAGTATAATATGTAGTGGAAATATAGATGGATGTAATAGAAGCAACATTTTGTATTCTTTATTCTTGCGGCCACCAAGAAAACCTGTGCTGTTACAAAATTGAAAGTAGGAGAAATTTTTCTTTAACCAGAGGAATGCTCTTTTTAAATATATCTCTTTCCTACCACAAAGTTGCTGATGGATAGCTATGTTGGTAGCATTTGTGAATCTTGCATTGGGAAGGGTGATCCTGTGGTTTTCCCTCATAAAGCAGAACCTTCAATGAGGTCAGCAGTCAGCTCCTGAAGAACAGACACCATGTCTTAAATATTTCTTGTGTCTCTAATACTGAGCCTAGAGATGGCACATAGTGTGTGTTCACCAACAGGCTCAGTTTTACAGCAGGCCAACTCTTTGAGCTGCTGTTACCATATTTGGTTCTGCTGCTGACCCACTCCCAGCTCTCTCTGAATATGCTGTATAACCCACGTGTCCAGCCCACAGGCCCTGTCTGCACCTTTAGTTCTATTCACTGGTTACACAGATGTTGGTTAGTGATTAAGATACAGACTGTAACTAGGATGATGGGATAGAAAATGTCTCATCAAGTTGCCGTTGAGGTTTTTGGATGATAGGGTTAAAATTCAGACTGACCTTGACTATAATGGACACAAATAAGCAGAATTAAGACCGTCAGGGAGGTATAAGTTCTGGAAAACTAAATATAACACAGGGCTGTATACATGTGAGTTCGGTGTCAGGGAGAGGAGGGACTCTCTGTGAGTCAGCAGCATACTGCTATATCTTCTTAATTATCGGGCGCACGCTGCCAGTTACCCACAGGAGCATAGCATGTGGGCACTGCCGGGTAACATTTCCAAAATACTTGGCATTAGTCAGACTTTTTTTTTTTTTTTAGAATGCTCTGTCCACTCTGGCTGAAGAAAAGTGTGGAGAATTTGTCAAGGGTTCAGAGCATGGCAACTATATGCAGAGGAGCAATGGAAAATAGGACCCATTGAAAGAGGCTAATAAATAAGGATTAATTATTTAGTGTGATCTACAGCAGCCTAATGGGTGATTAAATTAATGGTCTTCTGTTGCATGTATGGTTATTATGTAGATAATATAATTATTTCCACTGTGAGTAGAATTAGGGAAATGGATTTACATTAAAGGAGATTTGAGGCAGCATAAAGAACTTCTTGACTTTAAGGATTGTTGGGCAGTGGAAAGACTTCTCAACTGGAAAGTCAAAACCATGTTTCTTACAGAATAGGAATGGGGGTACCTACAGCCCTCCAGTTACCATTAGATGCAGTTGGAGTAGAGATTGACGCACTTTCCAGATAACATTTCATCTCACATCGTATTTGACATTTTCAGCGACCGCATCAGTATTCCCTTTGTGTTTGTGTTTTTCATAGTTGATACAAAAATGCAGACCTTGCTTTTAATGACTCCACAGTGTGTTTCAAGCAAGCTAGAGTTTAAACAACAAATTGAAAATTACATCACCTGAGAATCAACTTGCTGCTCACTCTCACAGGAGCCTTAGAGTATTGTCAACTCAACTTGCCTATTTCTTTTTCTTCTTTAGGAAACTAGCTGTGTGCCCTCCTCGATTGTTCCGCAATGAGTGCCAAGTCTGCCATCAGCAAGGAAATTTTTGCACCTCTTGACGAAAGGATGCTGGGAGCTGTCCAAGTCAAGAGGAGGACAAAGAAAAAGATTCCTTTCTTGGCAACTGGGGGTCAAGGCGAATATTTAACATATATCTGCCTGTCAGGTAATGAAACCCAGACCCTAAGAATGTTTAAACAGCTTCATTTTAAAACAGTTAATTCTAAGGTATCCAGGTGGGTCGTATACCCAGCTTTTGCACACATCTGCTCTTCAGTCTTGTTTCCTGTTTCTCTTGTTGTCCTCTCTGGTCCTTATTTCCTAGCGGTACCTCTACTTTTGAGGGGTTTTTTTGTTGGAACGGGAGTGAAGTTCCACTTTCAGTGTAGTTTCCAGGTCATAAAGTGATGAAAGGGTCACTTCTCCTGAGCCCCTTCTCCTGAGGGGCTGACAGACACACTTGTTTGGCCATACTTCCCTTCACTTGCATTGACAGAAAGCAGGTTCTACTCTAGGAATTTTTGCTTTAGGATAATTCCTGGTGTCTGGATAATGGTCATTATCGCCAGCCTGAGTTTCATTGGGTTTCTTTTCGTTAACAGTTTCCAATAATCAGTAATAGTTTGTCTCAAGATAAATATGGACACCTGAGGGAATGTGAGAAAGTAGGTGCAGCACCCAAATCATTGCTTTGCCTGACAGCTGTCCCTTGTCAGGAAGAGGCACTTACTCCATTAAGCTTAGAATTTTGTTGGATTATTTCTTTTTCTCTTTCTGCTTGTGATTGTAAATGTGTGGGACTTCCTGTGGTTTCCTACCAAGTTTTTGAGATAAAATTTGGATAAGTTTTCCATGGAGTAGTGGTAGTGCTAAGCTGAACACCTGAGGCATTTGTAGTAAATCCGATAACACTTCTTGTAACCAGGCAATATAAGAATGAAGGTTACCTTAATTCATCTTTTTTTATTTCCTTCACTTGTGGCTTGGGAATAAAACTTAATTTTTGGACCACTTTTTAGATTAAGGAAAAAAATAAGCTAAGTTTATCAGAATTCATTTCAGTGTGTAGATAGGTTTTTTCCAGAAAGAATATGTAAAGATACTGATAAGACTGTATCTTGGTTTATGATGAAATGATAACATAGCCTTTTGGTAAGAATGTCTTCTCAATGGTTAGGAGAAAGCTTTTATTTAAACGAGTGTGAGAGAATTGACCTTGAAATATTCGTCTTTCCTTCTGAATTCCAAATTAGGATTAGATTAATGAAATTTGGTTATTATTGGAGGATATTTGCATTCCCCTGCTGTGCTGGGCAGTGCTTGGCATATAATAGGGACTCAATTAATACCTAAAGACTAAGTGGAAGAAAGAAGTAACCTTTCCCAATATCTTCCTAGTATTTTGTTAATGAGATTCAGGTCTTAAAAATATTTTCATAATCTTAAATTTTGATTCTAGAGTTCTGTTTGCACCAATAATGAATAGAGTGGATGATGATGAATTTTGTTTTGTGTTTGGGCTGAGCTCAACAGGAGCTGAGTATGGGCACATAGTGACTCTAATTTAACTTTATTAAATTTTATTCCATCTGTGTTTCATTGAGATTTCCTTTTTTTTTTTTTATTTATTTCTGAGAGAGAGAGAGAGAGAAAGAAAGGCAGTCTAAGCAGGGGAGGGTCAGAGAGATAGGGAGACACAGAATCTGAAGCAGGCTCCAGGCTCTGAGCTTGCTGTCAGCACAGAGCCCGACGCGGGGCTCGAACCCACGAACCGCGAGATCATGACCTAAGTGAAAGTCGGACGCTTAACCGACTGAGCCACCCAGGCGCCCCTCATTGAGATTTCCTGAAGACAGGTAGTTGAAGAAAAGGTGGATGGTCTAGAAGTCACTAGAGTTTTGCTTTTGACTAGAAGAGACATCCCTTTGACTAGAAGAGACAGAAGTTTGGTTTGCAGTTGAGGCATATGCTACTGTCAGCCTACTTCTGATCATAAAATCTGCAAGGGTGATACAGGGACTCTCTGCCTGCCTCGTCTCAGTGAAATAGTAGAGCCATTTCCCCCGCCAGGGGAGATAATGACCTGGACTTATCCGATAACTGTGTTTCCCTTGTAGATTACCGAGACTTTAGTTTCCAAGTTTGAAACGATGTAAATTGCTTTTGCAGAATTCCATTCTAAAAGAGGAAAATATTTTGTTCTGATAGTCTTCATCGTCATTCTTTTCATGGATTTGAATCACAAGAGGATAGATTGATAAAGTAGACCTGACATTTAAGCAGATGATTTCATGGAAATTGGAGCCAGAGATGACCAAATAACTTTGACACCCCAGTTTTTTGCAGTTTGATTTTTTTTCTAATAATTGAGAAAGGAGCAGCCTTCTTTATTTTCTAACTTATGTGAAGCTTAGAGGCATAAGGTAATGTTTTAATTGACAAGTAATTATCTCCTCAAATATTTATTAAGTATTTTTTATGTGCTGAGCACTCTAGGTGCTGGGTGAAGCTTACTCTGTTTGATGGGGAGGGAGCAGTAGACATCAATCAACTACTTACTAAAATAAACATAACTATTAACTGTGAAAAGGCTCAAAAGGAACAGTACAGTGATGCGAAAGCATGTGTGAAGAGAATTTGTCCTGGCCAGAGAACCCAGAGCTTCGAGAAAAGTAGAGCCTCCCTGGTTCTGAAGAGACATGGTGTGTGTGCAGTGAGCATTCCTGGCAGAGGGAAGGGCAGCCTCATTAAAAGACTGCGCTGGATTTTGAGTAGCTCCTTCTCTCCCATCCGGTCTCAGGATGACCCCTTTGTAGCTCAACTCACAGAGGCAGCTGTGAAGTGAAAGCAGAGCCCTGGAATGACAGCCTCCTTCCTGCTGTTAGGATGAACCACCTACGCCTTCTGGGAGGCCAGGCTCTTCAACTCTTGTTGATGAAAACCAGCTATATCCATTTTGAATAGGCAAGATTTGTTCAAATTAGGGCAATGTCTGCAAATAATACTTAACCACTTTTCAAGCAGTGTAAAAAGTTTAAAAAAATTTTTTTAGGGGAAGAATATCCTAGCTTTCAAACCTTGCCAGCACATGCATTTAAGCCCAAGTGTTGTATGTATCTGGTGTCTTTTACTGGCTGTGTGTGGGTGAGACTGGCAAATTTCAGATCAGAGAGGGTGAGTCTATGATCCTAAGAGTTACCATTTTCAGAGTGAATTGCATGTCCTTTGGAGGAATCCAGAAAGATATTGGAAGTAAGATGATCTTTCCTGGGTTATTTAGTTGTGATTGTGTAAGGAGAGAAATAATCTCCCCAGTTCATTTGTGGAGCCTCAGAATAGAATTTGAAAGTTTCTCATTGGACTTCACAAATGGCTTCATGGATAGTGTGCAGACATTTATCTCCTGACAGGCTTTGGTTGATTTGCCTTCTCAAAGCCTGGTTTCTACTTTTTCTTTTTGGCAATGGCTAAAATTAAAAAGACAGACAATACCAAGTGTTTGCAAGCATGGGGAGGAGTTTGAACTCTCCTACTTTGCTGGTGGGAATGTTCACCAACTGCTTTGGTGAACAGTTTGGCAGTTTTTTGTAAATTCAAACATGCACTCTGACTCAACGACTCTATTCCTAGTCTTTTACCCAAGTGAAATAAAAAAACATGCCCACATAAAGAAATGTACATAGGAGTTAGCAACAGTCTTAATTATAATAACCAATAAACTGAACTCAAGTGTCCATCTACATGTAAAAGAACAATTATTTTCTATCTGTGGAATGCTCCCTAAGAAATGAATTGCCAGAACATGCAGCAACATGGATTACTCAAAAGCCTTATGTTGTATGAAAGAAAAGAAAGAAATGACTACATGCTGTATGATTTTATTTATATGAAATTCTAGAATGGACAGAACTTAAACTGTAGTGACAGAAAGTCCATTGGTGGCTGACAGGGTTAGGGTCAAGGATTGACTAGAAAGGGGCATGAGGGAATTTTTTGCTATGTTGTAAGTGTTCTATATGTTGATTATGGTTATTTGGGTGTGTATCTTTTTCACAGCTTATCAAACTGCACACTAAAAATAGGTACATTTTATTATATGTAAATACATCAACAAAATCTATTTTAAAAGAGCTCTTACAGAGTCACTAGTGGGATGATTGTAAGAATTTATTAACCTTCAGGGTGCCTGGGTTGCTCAGTCAGTTCAGGGAGTTCAGCTCAGGCCATGATCTCACAGTTTGTGAGATCAAGCCCCGCATCAGGCTCTGTACTGACCGTGTGGAGCCTTCTTGGGATTCTCTCTCTGACCCTCCCTGGCTCACTCTCTCAAAAATAAATAAACCTGAAAAAAAAAAAAGAATTTATTAACCTTTTTATATCTCCAGCCTCCTCCTATAAGGACAGAAACTAGCCCTTCTTCTTCATACAAATGAAAAGTTATCTTAGATAGCCTTGTTGAGCCCTCAAACAGAAGCAGCTGTGTAGCAGGTAAACCTGTGCTTGAATCTATATGATGTAAATGTCAGGGCACTTTAAGTTCCTTATAGAACCTGACACATTGCCAAGTACAGAAGCACTATTCATTGTGTTTAAATAGAAGATGCTGTTTAAATTTATGGCTTACTACATACCTGATTATACTTTAGACTTTAAAATTTAGAACTGTTAACTCACTCAAGGTATAATGCAAGCCTTACCCCCAATACAGTTGGTTGCCCCTTAGGTGAAACTTGGGTCTATAAAACTAAACTGGAAACGTGCTAAGTTAAAGACCAGTTTACTAGTAGAGGCCCAGTAGCTACTGAACATTCCATAATTCATACTTAAAATCTATTTTCCCAGGGCACCTGGGTGGCTCAGTTGGTTAAGCATCCGACTTCGGCTCAGGTCATGATCTCATGGTTCGTGGGTTTGCATCAGGCTCTGTGCTGACAGCTAGCTCAGAGCCTGGAGCCTGCTTCAAATTCTGTATCTCCCTCTCTCTCTGACCCTCCCTTGCTCAAGCTGCCTGTCTCTCTCTCTCTCTCTCTCTCTCTCTCTCTCTCAGAAATAAATAAAACATTAAAAATTTTTTTTAATCTATTTTCCCAATCTTGTTTTGAGTATATGCAGTGTATAATGCTAGCCTTCACATCCATAAATGGATAAAAATCCTTGGTTACTACT